CTTGATGTACAGCACACTGTTCAGACTTCTTATCGCATTTACTGCGTTCAGATATTCAAACTGATTTGATTTTCACATTTAATTTGTTCGAAGGTGTATAAATGATGGTCGTCCCACAAAATAGATAGGGAAGTTTATGTTTTATTGCTACTATTATTGTCACATTGCCACCTCTTCTATGCTTCCTTATGTCATCTGATAATGACGTATTTATGGTCATAAAAGTAATCGATTAATAGAAATGATAGCAAATATTATTATTTGTTGCTATGGGTGATGTTTTATTGGTTAGGAGTGGAATATCTATAAAATATATAGAGACTGTAAGATCAGTAGGAGTCGAACCATTGTCTTCACATAAATTAGCCATGTTAATTGCAAGTCCGATGCCAAATTGATCAACTACAGAAGCTTGACAAAATAATTTAAAGTCTTTTCCATTTTGGCTTTAAAACCCTTTTCATTTCCATATCAATTTCTACTCTAACTCCATCCTCGCCTTGCAAAATAGATTTTCTTCTCTATTTTTCCATTATAAAATCAAGAAAATTAGCTCTAGCATAGGAAAAAGTGAAACACAGAAGGAGCATTAAAAGGTAGGATGAAAATATAGCTGAAAGCAAGAAGCTTAAATGTCAAGAAACAACATCGGTAAACAAAATTCGACCCAAAATTAATTTTACCATCGCAATGTCGACGTAAGGCAGAAAATAAAAAAATAATTTATATAGAAATTTTTGTTTGTAAAACAATCATTAAAGCGCATATTAATTAGAATATAAATTAACAGTTTAATGAATGATGAGCTATTTTGAGGATTTTGATGGCGGGGTTGTGGATATATTGAGATTATGAACTTGAACGAGGTGAATTTATGGACTGAATGTGTATATTTGGATGTAGAATTTTTTTTCTATTTCCATTGAAATTTACGTTCAAAAATAAGCATTTTATTCAACAGACTCAAAAAAATCCTCGCGTTGGAAGCTTAATATTGACTTAACTCTGTCAATAACGAATTTTGATTGAAATTTTATAATGCACGTACAATATCTGTTAAAAAAGCTTCTAAAAATTTTCTAAATCCTTTGATTCACTTTTCAGAAATATTGATTTACATTAAAGCTTTGAAATTGAGACTGCAAAATGTAAACAGAAAATTTTCCCAGAACAGGAAAACAACACAATTTCATATAAAATCCACATCGTTTCTGACTTTTCATCACTCAACAAAAAAAAAGGGGGAAGTTAAGAGGAAATGAGGTTCATTATAAAAAGCTCTAGAGTTACACAATAATATAATAAGTTGATGTAGATGAAGAAAAAAAAAAGATCAAAAAGGAAGGAAAAATGAAAAATTTTCAGTAATGAAATTTAATTTATTAAAAGGTTGTTTAAGGCATGTTATTAGCTTTGTGACTAAGTTGGGCAGGTAGGAGCTAGTTTTATAATTTATATAGTTAAAGATGCAGTCAGGGGGTGCTTTTTGGGACTTAGATATAGAATCTTCCAAAAATCATTTACTATTGCATTTCTAATGCCATCCAAGCATCATCCTAATGACAAGCAGCTAAATAATACTAAAGATTAAAGCTCCATCGATAAATTATGTAGTGACAAAACAGAATCAAATTTCTTGTATCAAAAAGAACAATACAAAGGAACTCAAGCTGTAGCACAAAGTCTGTTCTATTTGATGCTTACACACAAAGCTTTTCAAAGGAACGAAACGAAATGAAATGTTTGCAAAATATGTAAAAAGCATACATTGTTGATATTAATAGAAAAACAGAGCATTCAAAAATGAATAAAGAACTTTGAAGCTAGCTCTTGACTTTGTGAAGAAAGAAAAGCATTTTCTTTTATCCGAAAATGGAAATTTTCTTTTTTTGAGGATTTGTGAAGACAGGTTAATTCTATAACTGCATCTTGATTCTACAAATAAATGTGTTGCTGTGGAATTTTTACTTTAAAAAGATTTCAAGCATTTGTTTGAGCTTTAATATAGCTGCTGATACTGATCTGAATTAAAAGACAACCAAATCGTGATAATCATCCTCAAAATGACCAAAATCATTTAAAAAACAACCAAAACTCCACAAACGATCTCAAAAGACATCAAAAACAAAACAAAGACCGCCAAAATATCAATCATGAATCATCTAAACAATTTGATAAACAAACAAGTCTGGATTTCTTGAGAATTTATAAAGTTCAAGGCTATTGACTTATGCTGTTTCTTCACAAGGTTATGCTTCTCTTCTCTCAACGTGACAAATCTAACGTTAACTCTCTCAAAGCTTATTCGAAGATTGCTTCACGATCTGCTATCAAAATTTATTGCTTTTAATATTTTGTGGACACTGCAAATTTGTTTTGATTTTGAAGTCTTGATTGAAATTTTAATTGCACTTGGAAAATGTTTTATGAGGTGTTTAATAAGATTGCAAATTTTAACTTAATTTATTATGAATTCCAATTTTGATTTGATTAATTTATTTAATTAATTTGTAAGCTACAGAATAACACAGCTCTTAAGCCGCTTAATTATTCAGCATTTTAAGGAATTTTGGTTTTCAAGAAGAATTTTTTGTCTGCGGAAGTGAAAGAATTCAGACCAGCTTGAGTTTCACAAAGAGTTGCGTTTATTTATAAATACGGTGAATATTTGTGGCAAGAAAATTTATGAGTACAAAAATTTCGAATCAATTCATAGACTTTTTGGATCCATTTTTATCTTTTTGAAGTTGAATCTCATACTTAGTACTACATAGCATACTTTCGAATCAATACGAATCAAAATTTTTAAAGCTTAGTGAAAAAATTCTTGAAATTCATGAGGAAAGGGAAAAAAATATTATAAATGTTCTGCAAGAATTTCATTCCAATTTTCCTCTTTTGAGCCAATAAAATCTAATTTTCAAAACTGAATGATGAAAAAGACGACGTTTCTCGCTTACAAGGCACGCTATTGAAGTAAACCCTATTATATTCACCAAAAGCTCTTCATTATAAGGTGAAGGTCTTCGCTCATTGTATTTTTAATTTAAATTTAATAACTTAAGATGTTTTAATGCTTCGAGTCTAATTTTCTCTTTCTGTGACTTTTCTCTTTGATTTTAATTTAAAAATGGCAACGACTTTGATTCTTTTCTGAGCTTTAATGAAAATAAAATATAAGGGAAACCATGAATATGCTGTCAAAATTAGATTGAATGAGTGATTCAGTCAGAAAATTTGCAAAAAAATTAATAGAATTTTCTGGAATTTTCATAAAACTCAAACAAAATTTTCCCCAAAGGAACTTCATAATTTTTCTATACAATTTTGCATGTTTTTGAAATAAATAATTGCCTTTCTGAAAATAATTTTTTATGTTCAACATTTTCTCATTGCAAAAAAATTCGTACCTTTTAATTTCCTCATTTTATTAAACAAACAGAAAAGCACGAAATAAAAACTTAAAAAAAATTTCAATCAAGGCCATTTCGAAATCGTAAAAACGCAACAGGTAAGACAACAAAGAAGAAAATTGAAAATACAGAAACGGAAGTGATATACAGCATATTGATTTTCTTTTTTCGACTTAAGGTTTGTAATATTTAAGAAGCTCGTGTTGAATTTTCTTTGATTCAAGCTTACGCTACAGAATCTAAATAATCATAAAAATATCATTTTTATTTGCAAAATAAATTCAAAATGGTGGACTCACTTCGAAAATTATTTTTGCATTATCAGCAAATATACATAGAATTTTAGCAAAATTTTTGAAGTTTACATAAATTCAAGATAGCAAAACCGATCATAAATGCACTTCATCACACAATAATCCATATTTATGAACTTCTTTGGCATTTAAAAACAAAATGGCGAATTACAAATTTTTCATTAATTTTAAATTCAGAAAAAAATTTCTCATTTTTTGTGCAACTTACACTTCAAAACAGCTACACATAACAACGCAAAAAAAATCTCATAACCCACAAATTAATTCAATCTCAAAAATCGTTTATTGCACTTACATCTTATCTTTTCAACACTCAACAAACCCATTAAAGATTAAAATCTGTTCAATATGTTTGTTGTTGTATCAATAAACCTAAATGCACCTCTCGTTTTGCTAAAAATAATGCTCCTTATCTTCTTTACACATTCCGCTACAATTTCATCATCATTAATAATAATAAAAGTTGAATTAAAATTACATCCATTTAGCAGATGTAAAAGGTAATCATGACGAAGTAAAGTGAACTACGAACATAACAATTTTATTTAATTTTCCATTTAAGACATGAATACAATTAGTTGGATGAAAATGGGTGTACTTTTTGGCTTTTGGATCTCTTTATTGAGAATTTGCATTATCATTAAGGATGACTTTGTTATGGGTTTGTGTAACTTTGTCCTTATTAAAGTTTTGTAGTGAATTTTTTAACATTGAAAAATTGACTGCTTGGAAATTCGAAACTATTTTTTCAAAAAAATCCCTTTTAATTCACTCAATACGACTAAAAAGTCCTCAAGAAAATCCTACAAAATTCTCTTCTACCTCGTTAACTTCCCACCTGCTCCCTATATTATTAAAATTTGCCTATTCCAAACTTTCTCTAAGACTTAACATTTTTATATGTTCAGCAGCGGCATCTTGAACAGGAAAATTTGTTGTTGTACAATTTAATAAACATTAGCATCATCGACCGATTTTATGAGAAAGGTAAAGTACCTCAAAAAAATATGTTCAGTATCCAAACTGTAACTATTAAAATCTGATACTTTACGATCCTTAAACAGACATAAAAAATTTTTTTTTTCTCGAGAGAAACTTTATAACTTTTTTTTTCCCATGAGTGGATGAAAAAATTATGGGAGGAAGAGGGAAAAAAATCGTTGAAAACAGATATTTATACGTTTATTTTCCTGTAATAACCTTTGGGGTATGTTTACAGAGCTTTAGAAAAATTAATGATGTTTGAAGGATATCAAAAGGTTAAGAAACTTACAATGTGATACATGAAAGTTGTAGAACAGCGACTGTTTGATGATTAATATTCGTCCATCTAAACGCATTTCCTCCTATAATGTTGATTTATGTATTCTAGAATGATAAATAAAATATTGCAAAAATTAGTTGATTTTTTATAATAAAATTTATTTAAACATTTGAGAAATTCAAGATGGTGGATTTCCTCACTTCAAAAAGTAATTATGCAATTGAATCTATCTCGTTTTGAGTTTTATTATTATTCGTGAAATATCACTTCTAAAGGGTGGCAAGAATCAAAATAAATTCAATTTACTGGAATTATTTGCATAATAGAAGAGTTATCAACAATTTAAAAATCATTAAAACAAAATGGCGGACATCGCTCTCATAACTTTAAAAACCAACATAAATCTATCCATAACCAAACAAAGTTCAAAAATATGTAAAACACACCATTCAAGACTAAAATATTCCCAAAGCTCTACTTATTCCATCTCACAGCGAAAAGTTTGAAACAAAATATTTTTCAATCCTCTTCAATTTCCATCCACAAAACTTTCGTATGTCAGCAACCGTGGCTATGTTTAATGAAAATGTTATTCATGATAATAATGATAATGATACCGACGGTAAAGTTTTGTTCTACAAGGAAAATAATAAATAAGCCTATCCATGGAAATTCATAAATCCTATTTAATTTGAAGCTTTTAAAGCTCCTTTGCTGTTGTTTAGTTTCAGTTGCAAACTAGATCTCAACGTGAACAGACGTGTTTACAAATCGCTCCGCAAATTATTCAAAAATCTCAAAAGAAACAAAACAGAGACTACCTGAGAAGCTTTTTGTTTGCAAAAAGTTTCAAAATCTCAGTTTGATTCTCAAAACATCAAAATGGTAGCATCACCAAAAACTACCAACAACGAAGAAAATCTTTCTCAAAATCAGCATGGACATAATAGTTCTCAACAACAACATTCATCTTCAGTGACAATTCTCAATATTGAGGAAATTTTCAGTGAAGATGTTTCACAAGCAGCCGACATTGAGATGACAAATCTCAAACCAAAAAAACAAATATCAATAAAGAAGTTTCTCAATGAAGCAAGTAAAGCAGAAAAACGCCCTCGAGAAGTGATAGTTCCCAACGCTCTTTTAAAAAGAGTAGCCAACGAAAGCAAACCAAAAGATGGGAACAAACCACTGTTCGTACTCCCACCAGTGAAGAAAGCTTCGTCTTCTGGAGTACCGTATCTATTTGGTTCACCAGAACAGGAGAAAAAAAGATCGACAACTTCTTCGTACTGGAGAGAAAACAGCAAAACATCAGAGCAACAAAAGACAATTTCCGTAAACACGGAAAGCAACAACAACAAATCTCAACAAAAATCAAAACCACCTCCAATTGTCATCAGCACAGGAGGAGCTGGTGAAATCAAGAGATTGACGAATGAAATAAACAATCAACCTGGAAGTTTCTTAATTGAGACCAAAAAGGGCAAACAAGGAACAAAAACGGTAACAACGGAGAGTTGGGATTACTACGAGAAATTCATCCAACTACTCAAAGACAAAAAGCATCACTTCCACACATACTCCAGCCAAGAACCACTGAAGAAGTACGTACTCTATGGACTCCCAGATATGGAAATCAGTGAGTTGGAGAAGGAACTTCAAACCGTAAAAATCACACCAGTAAAAATTGTCAAAATGACAATGAAACACAAAAGACACGAACAAGACGACGACCAGAACTACCTCGTGTACTTCAAAAAAGATGTAGAACAAGGTGGAAATTTCCTGGAATTCCTCAGAAAAATCAAAATTGTCAGCAGTTTCAAAATTAAATGGGCTGACTACAAAAATAGACAAGCTGGACCATCTCAATGTTCGAAATGTCTGCAGTTTGGTCATGGACAAAACGGTTGTAACAAACCGTCCGTTTGCTTCAGATGCTCTGAGCAACATGACTCGAAAACGTGCCAGTACATATCGAAAGAGACCAACAAGGTTCCACTCGGAAAACTCAAATGTTTCTTCTGCGGTGAAAAACATACAGCAATTTTCACAGGTTGTAAAACCAGACAAGAAATAATTGAAAAATGGAAATCAAAATCACAGAATGGAAACAACCAAAATCAAAACAAAACAGCAGGCCATTATTTGTATGGACAACGGAGAAACAATCCTCCAACACCGCATCGTCCTGAGAGATCAACGAGAAACGTCCAACATGCACCAAAACCTCAATGGAGAAAGGAGTATATGGAACCATCAACATCTGGTACACAAAAGCCTGTTCATCAAAAACAAGTTCCAGTCAACCACAAACCAAGGAACACAAATCCTCCTCCAAATCACAAACCCTCAAATCAGGGAAATAAAAATAACTTGAACAACCAACAAAACAATAAAGAAAGAGGAAAACATTGGAAAAAGAATCAAAGAAAAAAGCAAAACGAGCGCATTAATAACAATCAACATCAAAAACCAAAGCAAGATGTTGAGCTTATGGACTCAGAAGACATCAGTGCAACAAGTCAGACCTCGAATGAAGTCTTCCCAGAACCTTCATTCAGTGTTGAGGTAGTGAATCGAAACATAACAACTAATCAACAAGCTCAAAGCACCAGCACAAGAGATAAAAACATCTCAGAAATAGAGGAATCAAAGTGCAAGTACCTTATCAGCGAGCTTCTCAAATTAATCGCCAAAAATCCAGAGTTCATCGACGAAATACTCCAAGCAATCGGCTCAAGTGCCAAAAACACCGCATACAATAATGGATTGTAGACAACAAAGTATCAACGTCCTCTACTGGAATGCTAACGGCCTCACTGACAAAATGTTAGCATTTCTCGACTACCTAAGCAAGCAAAACGTCGATGTTGCTTGCATCTCAGAAACATTCCTAAAACCAAACTCAAAAATTGACTCGCATCCAGACTACGTAATTCATCGATTGGATCGCGTGGATAGACCAAAGGGTGGTGTTGCAATCATCGTCAAAAGAAATCTAAAACATCAGCTTCAACCAAGCTACAACACAAAACTAATGGAATGCATTGGAATCAAAGTCTTCATCAATGACACGGATAGTTGTCACATCCTCTCAGTCTATCTCCCAGGAGGAAGCAAAGGAGGGGAAATAGATCTACATCTGAGAGATGACATCAACAAAATAACAAATCTGAGAGGAAATTACTACATCTGTGGAGACTTCAATGCAAAACATCGAGAATGGAACTGCAACGTTGCAAATAAATCAGGAAATATTCTTCAGGAAATGTCAGGAGAGTTCATGATCTACTTTCCTGACTCGCCAACGTACTACCCAGAAGATCGAAACAAATCAGTGTCAACAATTGACCTGATGCTCTCGAATTCCAACCTCGAAACAACAGAACTTCAATGCACAGAGGCAATGAGTGATCACTGCGCTGTGTATTTCCAAATCAAAACATCAAAAATCGACAGAACTGAAAATACAGTCTACAGATATGACTACAAAAACGCAAACTGGAAAAAGTTCAAAGCACAAATTTCACGCCGCATTGAAGACAACATTGGAGAAAATTCTTGCAATGCAACAGATGAGATCGAGAATCACATTAAGATTCTCTCTGAACTCATCATGGAAGCGAGGAACTCAAGTGTAAAAATGAAAAAGATCAACTTCGAATCAACTAAACTCACACCGGAGATTAAAGATCTAATCAACACAAAAAGGAGTCTTCGTCGAAGATGGCAGAGAAGCAGAGATAATCAACTCAAATCTGAATTGAATTATCTGCAGAGAGTCATCAACGAGAAAATTAAAGAACTCAAAAACAAAAACTGGAATAAACGTCTCTCAGAGATACAACCGTCAAACCAAACAGTTTGGAGAATAGCAAAATTTTGCAAAAAAGGTTCAAAAACAATGCCTCCATTGACAAATCTGGGTAAAAAATTCATCACCAACAAAGAAAAAGCCAGCGCACTCAGTGAGTATTTTCGTGAAGCTCACGAAAATCCTCTGGAACGAAACGATCCACAACATACACAGGAAGTAAACAACACAGTCAAAGAAGCATTGGAACAAGACAATGATGAGAATCCAGAACTAACAGATGTAAACGAAATCGTGAGCATCATAAGAAATCTGAAAAATCCAAAAGCTCCGGGACTAGATGAAGTCAACAACATACTCATCAAAAATCTTCCTGAAAAAGGTTTCGAATACTTGAAATTCATCATCAATTCGTGTCTGAAACTCAACCACTTCCCCAAAGTTTGGAAACATGCAAAAGTGATTCCTATTCCAAAACCTGGAAAACCAGCAAATGAGCTAAGCAGCTACAGGCCAATAAGTCTACTCAGCTCAATAAGCAAAATACTGGAGAGAGTATTACTGAATAGAATCAACGATCATCTTGAGGATAACAACATCATCCCAAACCAGCAGTGCGGCTTCCGGACTGGAAGATCAACATCTCACCAGCTCATCAAAGTGATCAAATCAGCAAAAGAAAACTTAAACAACAAAAAGTCAACAGGCATGATCTTCCTGGATGTAGAAAAAGCATTTGACAGAGTCTGGCATAACGGACTCTTGTACAAAATGCTCAAACTGAGATTTCCACTGCCACTTATAAAAACTGTAAGATCTTTCCTCAGTGAAAGATCTTTCGCAGTTTTTATTAAAGGTCAGTTCTCAGAAATCAAGGTAATCAAATTCGGAGTGCCACAAGGAGCAGTGCTTTCACCAACTCTCTACAACATCTTCACGTATGATGTTGTAAGAGAGACAACCAACAACATCGGTCTTTTCGCAGATGATACAGCACTGTATCATTCTGCAGAGAACTCGGCCGATATTGTGACACATCTACAGCACACAGGAAGAAAAGTTCAACAATACATGAACAAATGGAAGATCAACCTCAACAAACAGAAGACTCAAGCCTTATTCATCACAAACAGGCACTCCAGGCAACTACCAGGAAATAACATCAAATTTCTCAACGAAAACATCAAATGGGAAACAGAAGCTAAATATCTGGGAATGGTGATCGACAAGAGAGTGACATTAAAGCCGCATGTGGAGTATGTGACCAATAGGGCTCACACCGCA